AGTTTTGGCGAATTTACCGTCATAAAACGTGTAAGAAGGAAGCCCATAAGTCTGTTGTCTAGCATTGACAAAGTTCCAGAAATGTGTTAGATTTTTATCCATAAGCAATGACACTTCTGAGGATATGACATAATTTTTACAGCAATCTTTGGAAAGCGTCGAAGGTGTGAAAATTCAACATAGTCAGCAGGGGAACCCGTCTGCTTTTAGGTTCTGTGGGAACTTTTCTTCTTAATTATTAGGTCCGTTAGTTCAAGGGAGAACCATCATAAAAATGTATGGCTTGAGTGCTTCTTCTTTGGTACACAACAATCGATAGCCGTATAGAGAACGTCGTAGGTCATCCCAGCGAACAATCCCAAGGTTATCGTTGAGGAGCGTGTAATCAGCAGATCTAAAATCATAATGGTACGCGTCAGGCTGGGGGACGTAGGCATTGTAATGAGGTGACCTATTGCAGGTGGCAAAAAGTAGGTAAAGCAGGATGATATGCATCAATGGGGAAGATTTGCTATTTGCTAAGAGACAAGTAACCTCGAAGTCCTGGGTGAAAACCAGATCAAGTAGAGTGCCATGAGCATTATAGAATGCATTTATCTGAAACTGGTTGTGGTAAGCGCTCATATTGCATAAACATTCAGTGGCTTCATGCTCTGAGGTTAATGAAGACTGAGAAATTGAAATCCCCGAAAATGCAAAGCTTGTAATCTAGGAATGTATCCGATAGATTTTCCACTGAGTCCGAAAAACATCTGTAATCCTCGCTATTGGATCTAGGTGGTAGGTAAACTGCACCAAGCAATAATTTACTATTCCCCGAGTGCACCCTGAAAAATAGCTGTTCAATAGTCCTGGGTGAGTTGCAGATTGAGCTATATACCCTTTTCAATTGCTATCAATACACCTCCCCCTCTGGTGGCAATAATGGAAGAAGTTGAACGATCACATCTAAAGACGTTATAGTTCTCCATACCCAGTTCATGGCACACTGCACCCTCGATAGGAGAACAGGTGCCTTCTGACCAGGAAGGCTAGCACCTGTTTAGAATCCCAGTCCAGGGTACGGATGAAGACGGGAAAGGCGCAACTTTGAAACAGCTTCAACAGCGGAAGTGGCAACCCTGTCAGACCAGCAGCAATATTCATAGTGTTTGGTCGGCGTATTCGTAGATATATAAAAAGAACGGCAAAAAGTTGAAGGTGCGGCAAGGAGTGTCTAAACGATTTCAGAACTGCAACGGAAAACCACTTCATTAGTTTTCCCGGGAAAAAAGTCATCAACGTGACTGGAAAACCTGAAGCCCAGGCCCTCAGTTCCCGGCAGGTCTCAAATGACCAAAGGGTGCTAAGAATCACCGGGCCAGTCATGAAGAAGATTGCGACTAGGAACGTACAAAAGTATGTTCCAAGAAGGGAAAATTCACAGTGACATCAAAAAAATAAAGAGAATGCATATCAACATTTAAGGGATCAGCGAAACGAAATGGCCAAGTTCTACTGATTGCCACATCGATGACCATCATGTTTATTAGTCTGATAACAACCATCAAAATTACTACAGCCTTCGTGGTAAACTTGAAATATTTTGTCCCGATTTTCGATAGAGTAGCATTCCTCCAACTCAATATTCCAAATCATACAATGTGAACATTATCCGAACATATGCACTGACCTGCGATTACCCAGACTAAGCTGTTGAAATATTAACTCCAAAGCGCCTTAGATCTACGAAGGCGTAGAAGGGACATTTATTAAATTTTTATTTGCTGGTATAGATGCACAATTAATTCCGTGTTAACTAACTCGGAATTAATCCCCTCCTATTTAATTCCGTGTTAATTAACTCGGAATTAATCCCCTCCTATTTAATTCCGTGTTAACTAACTCGGAATTAATGTCCTTTTATTTAATTCCGTCTTAACTAACTCGGAATTAATCCCCTCCCATTTAATTCCGTGTTAATTAACTCGGAATTAATCCCCTCTTATTTAATTCCATGTTAACTAACTCGGAATTAATCCGCTCCTATTTAATTCCGTGTTAATTAACTCGGAATTAATCCCCTCCTATTTAATTCCGTGTTAACTAACTCGGAATTAATGTCCTTTTATTTAATTCCGTCTTAACTAACTCGGAATTAATCCCCTCCTATTTAATTCCGTGTTAGCTAACTCGGAATTAATCCCCTCCTATTTAATTCCGTGTTAACTAACTCGGAATTAATCCCCTCCTATTTAATTCCGTGTTAGCTAACTCGGAATTAATCCCCTCCTATTTAATTCCGTGTTAACTAACTCGGAATAATGTCCTCTTATTTAATTCCGTGTTAATAAACTCGGAATTAATTAAGACGGAATTAAATAAAAGGACATTAATTCCCAGTTAGTTAACATGGAATTAAATAGGAGGGGATTAATTCCGAGTTAATTAACACGGAATTAAATGGGAGGGGATTAATTTCGAGTTAATTAACACGGAATTAAATAGGAGGGGATTAATTCCGAGTTAGTTAACACGGAATTAAATAGGAGGGGATTAATTCCGAGTTAATTAACACGGAATTAAATGGGAGGGGATTAATTCCGAGTTAGTTAAGACGGAATTAAATAAAAGGACATTAATTCCGAGTTAGTTAACATGGAATTAAATAGGAGGGGATTAATTCCGAGTTAGTTAACACGGAATTAAATAGGAGGGAAATAATTCCGAGTTAGCTAACACGGAATTAAATAGGAGGGGATTAATTCCCAGTTAGTAAACACGGAATTAAATAGAAGGGGATTAATTCCGAGTTAATTGACACGGAATTAAATAGGAGGAGATTAATTCCGAGTTAGTTAACACGGAATTATTTGTGCATCTGTACCAGCAAATAAAAATTTAATAAATGTCCCTTCTACGCCTTCGTATAGATCTGACTAAAAAGTCAGAAACTACAATTATTATGGGCGACTTCAATGCAAAGATTGGCAGTGGAGTAAAGGATGACATAGTTGGTGAATACGGACTGAGTATTGCGAATGAACGTGGTGGCCGACTGTTCGGGTTTTGTCAGGAAACGGGTTTTGTCGTCTGAAATAGTTATTTTCCTAACAAGTGCGCAAAGTGATACTTTCCCGCACGAAAAAGCAGTTAGACGAACGACGCGAAGCGGAGTTCGGATAAGCTTTGAGTGCGGGAAAGACACTTTGCGCAAGTGTTAGGAACAATATTTTTTCTACGAATATCTTAAAAAAGTAAACTTTGAATTATTACAGTATTAGAAAAATCAATCAAATCAAAATCTTCAAAAATCGTTTAAAATCTATTGGAATTCCTTAGAATGTCTTAAATTAAAATCCCAAAAAATCTTTTAACATCTTCTGGAATTTTTAGAATACCAGCTAGAATATTTTCATGAGAGTCTTTCAAATATCAAAAATTGTACAAATTCCTAGCAGTACAGGCTGGTCCAATTTGGACACCTTTGATAGGAAACATCATGTTAACTAAGCGCTAATATCAACTAAAACCCTTCATTATAAATATTAGTTTATTCAGAAACCATCAAAACATTGAAAAATCAAGTATAACTATGGTAATTATGCGTAACAAAAATGAGTGCGCAAAGAGTTTCCTTGCGCAAAGTTCAACTTTGCGCACGCAAATGAGTGCGCAAAGTGATTACTTTGCGCACGCAAGTAGAAAAAACTTTTTTTTCAACTTCCAGCAATACGGCTTAACACACTTCTAATGCTCATACGTCGAACAGAATTATCAGAATCCAAATTGGTTTCGTGCTGATCAATAAACGCTACAGAAATTGCATCAAATTTGCAAAGACTTACCTTGGCGCAGATATAAATTCGGACCACACTTGATGGGAGAAAGATGCCTGCAAAAAGACCAGCCAGCATATCGTCAAATAAATCATAAAGAAACACAGTCAGGGTAGCTAAAGAAAATTGGCTACATGAACGGTGTAAGAAAATCGAAGACCTTGAAGCAAAATAGGACAGTTTTAATATGCATAAGAAAATTAAAGAAGTTGCTGTGTAAACATCGACAAACCTGTTCTGTTCTGTTGGACAGTCAAGATAATTCTTGATGTCAACGACAAAGTAAAATAGGGATGCCAGCTACATCGAAACCCTGAAGAGTATTCACGAGAAGGATAACTAAGGGAGAAGTCCAACACGCCATTCAGTTATCCAAAAACAGGAAAACTGCAAGTCCAGACGGTGTCTACTCAGAACTTATTGTAATCCTGAAAAAAGAGGAGTCACTACAGGCAATAGTGACGATTTTCAATATGGTTTGCCGATCGGGCATTCCCTCTGACTGGCTGAGATCAACATTTGTGACGCTTCCGAAGAAAAGCTCTGCAAAAAGATGTATAGCGATTATCGCCTTATTAGCTTGATGAGGCACATTACAAGTTTTTTCCTAAAGATCATCCATAAAAGAATGTTCGCAAAGTGCGGACGAATCCAAGTTTGGTTTTCGTAACGGTTTTGGCACTATCATCCAAGTTCAAAGATGTAGAGATGTTTCTGTTACTGTATATGCATGCTTCGTAGACTATGAGAAAGCGTTTGACAGGGTACTGTAGAAGAACGTTTCTTTTCGCGTGTGCTCATGAAGGATATTTTCTTTGTTAGCCTATAAAGCTAAAAACTAAGTATGCTAATTATGATGGGGTGATCTTGTTTATGTTTACTTATATAAAGAAAGAGTGGCTTTTCGTATGTGTAAGAGGCGTCAGTCTTGCGTTAGCGTTCTAGACATTTGGTGGAATTTATATGCAAATATATCTTTGCTAGTTATTGTTGTTGAGTGAAATATCATTTTTTTCTTTAACGCAATTATACGTTGTGTATGATTTAATCGTCACAGTGCAGCGGCAGAATATATATATCTGCACCTCCGGAATAAATTTGTGTTTTGTAACTTTTTGAAGTTGTGGTTTAGTGTTTATTTGTGCCAGCTTGTTAGAGTTTGAGTGCGTCATACTCTAGAAAATGGGGAAGAATAAAAGGCGTAAAAGCAGTTCAAGTGATTCAACCAGCTCGTCAACAAGTAGTAACTGTGCTGGACGCTATAAAAGAACAACTAGAGAGTTCATGAAAACCGATAAAACTCGAGATAGTAGCGATTTGACAAAAAAGGACAAAAATAACGAAAGAAATGTTCAAGACGGTCTTCCAGTAAAAGCTCTTCAAGCACCTGGGTTGAGAAGTTCAACTCCTCCTTATGTTGTTTTGGAACGTCTCCAGTCTAAGCAAGCGCAACAACGAGCAGGTTTAGAAGGAATAATAATTGAAAAGGCTACAGATGCAAACGTTGCATCACCACAAAGTAGTACTTCAATTACCATGCCTGGAAGTAATTCGCAGAGGCGAATTCGACAACTGGAGGATTTGGTCAACCATTTATTAGAAAGCGGCGGAAATCGCAGTCAAAATAAGGTAACAATTAATTTAAAATGTATACCAGAATTCAATCCAAATGATGGGAAAATAAGCTGTAGCAAATGGTAAGATAAGATAGAACAACTTGGGCAAATAAATGAAATAAATAATTGGGATGAAGGACTCGATAACCAAAAATTCTCATGGGCGGAGTGGAAGCGCATGCTTATTTCAGCATTTCCTGCCCATCAAGACTTTCCTATTGCGCTGAGGTATATGATAAGAGCGTTAAAAGATAACCGAAGAATCGTGGACAGAAGATGAATTTAGTAAAATGCAGCTCCTTCGCCAGTGCGAAATAAGTGGAAAAAATGCAGTGGCGATGATTATAAATGGTATTCCCAATACTACAATATAATCTGGAGCAAAAGTGGGCAGGTATCTTACACCAGAGGACCTATTTTGTGAGTATCTCTCTTCTTTATCTTCGGTGACAGTATCAGTCAAGAAACGAATAGAATGATCCAAAAAGCAAGAGAGCCGTTACGAACACGTGCAGAAGTCTGAAGTAAATCAAAAACTCAAACATAAAAAGTGTTTCAATTGCAAAGACTATGGACATATTTTTAGGGACTGTCCCAAGCATAAGAAGGAATGCTCAATTTGCAAACAGGTAGGGCATTTAGCCTCAAAATCTTACAAGAACAGGCCAAGTACTTCACATAAAGCGCTAATGTGCACAATCAAACCTGATTCAAAGTCAGACTTGTGAAGTAAACGGACATAGTTTGAATGGTTTGATTGATTCCGGATGCGAGGTCGTATTAATTCATGAATCAGATGCAAAAACTGTTGGCCTCACTTGGTCCACTTGTATTGTTACTCTAAATGGATACGGAGGGGATATTACGAGAGTTTTGGGCAATGTCAAAACGAATCTAAGAGTAGATTTATTGTAACTTGAAACTTTAGTCGTTATTGTGCCCAATCAACCGCAGAATATATCAGTTTAATTGGTAGGTCAGTATTGAATAAAAGTGATGCGATAACAGTAGTTCACAGAGGAACGGTTAGACTTTTCTGCAATGGTTTACCAGTGTCACCAAAAATTGATGAACTTCCACCTAAAAAGATAGTTTTGATGGCAACTGTTTCCACTAAAATTTCCCCAAACCACATAGGACTGGTGAGTTGTATGATGAAGAATGACTACCAAGGTGATATTTTTGTAGACCTATGTCAGCGTTTTGAACCAGGCAAAGAATGCTTTGCCCAGATGTGTCATATCTTCAGGAGATTTGAAAATTCCAATTTTGAATGTTTCAAAAGATGTGATCTGTTTTGGACCAAATAGGGTAATTGCAAGAGGTGTTCCTTGCGTTCCTGATGACGAAAATGTAAGTACCTGTTTAAAAGTAGATATTTGTAATTTGGAAAAATTTTCCTTAAAGGGGGTGTGCGCCAAAAAAACAACTTCATCTCAAAAAAAATAGAAAAAAAATCTAAGAATAACAGTGAAATCCGCACCCCTCTATGACAAATAATACCGCAGATATGGCTCTATGAAGGTACCGCATCTAACCCTATGACGTCACGAAAGCTCAAGCGACGCACGAGAAAGTGGATTTAATTAAATTTACATAATGTTTTTCCTGTGTTACCTGCAATAATCTAAACAAAAACCACTCACGCGTGCCGGGAACAATCAAATTAACAATGCAGAGCGCCGCTGGACGAAGTTTTCGTGACGTCACGAGAGCGTCGTCCACACTTTAAAGCGGTATATCTCAGCGATGGTTTATCGTAGAATAACGAGGTTTGAACAGTTATTCTTAGATTTTTTTACACTAAAACTTTAATTTTTGGCGCACACCCCCTTTAAATGATTTAACCACTTGTGTGTCAGAAAAGTTATCTTTTTTTTTACGGATATGCGCACTCGCAAGGAAATGTCCTATCACGCTCGAGAAGCGGCAAGTGCGCGGAAATGTCGGTGTATGTTGGTCTTGAAACGGTTCAGGTTGTAACCTGCAGGGAAAACCGTCGCAGGGAGTTTATTCCACAGAGATGCTGTTCTCCAGAGATATGAATTCTGATATAATGAGGTTCTTGGTGCCTCTAGTTTGACAGTAAATTCATGGTTACCGTCTGTTTGACGGGTTCGCCTGGTAGGTGCTACTCTCGGTGGAATCATACGTGCCAACTCTTCAGAGCATTTTCCGTGATAGTACCTGTAGAAGAGAGATAAATCGCCCACAGATCTGCGATGTTCGAGACCATCCAAGTTACGAGTAAGTGCGGGGTCATTGATCAGCTTGATAGCTAGTTTTTGCACGGTATTCAAAAGCATTAAGGTATGTTTGGGTGCTGCACTCCATATATGTGAGCAGTACTCCATAGTTGGTCGAATCTGGGCTTTGTAGAGTGTCAGCAATTGGCTTGGTGTGTACAGATGTCTTGTACGAAATAGCACCCCCAGCTTTTGGGAGACCCTTTTAGCAATATCTGCCACGTGACTGTGCCAAGACATGTTGGTCTCTGCAGTAACCCCCAAGATGTTCAACTGACTCTGTAATGTGACAGCACTTCCAGATAGCATGATGTTTGGCTCACCGGTGCTGGTCTTTTTTGAAAACAGAGCTGCTTGGATTTTCTGCGCGTTGAACTGTACAAGGTTTTTGTTACCCCAGTCCTCTATTATCTCCAGGTCGTTATTTATCTGCGATATTTGAGTTAGTCTAAGATGATGGAATTCACGTGCGGAAAGACCTGTGGGTGGTATGAGTGAGGAGACTACATTGCCATAGTCTGCAAAGCAATAAAGTGGATTTACTGTTTTATCTATGAGGTTATTTATGTAAATCAGGAAAAGAGTTGGCGAAAGGATTGCTCCCTGTGGCACACCAGTATTTATTTGGTAAGAGTTGGAGTTCTGGCCATCCAGTGCAACATAAATGGATCTGTCCTTTAGGTAACTTTCAAACCAAGTGCAAAGTTTCGGCGATAATCCCATTGCTTTGAGCTTGTTGAGCAGATTTTCATGCCAAACTTTGTCGAATGCTTTAGATATATCTAAGGCAATTGTTCTTGTTTCACCCCGCAACTCAATCGCTTTTTGCCATAAGTGAGTGACGTATGTAAGTAAATCGCCAGTTGACCTATATTTTCGAAATCCGTATTGCTTATCGTTGATAATTTTGTACTTTTCCAAGTACTTGGTTAGGTGATTGTTCACAACTCTTTCCATTACTTTTGATATCACCGGAAGTAGAGCAATTGGTCTATAGTTTAACGGATCTGTCTTTTTTCCTTTCTTTGGAATGGGTTGTACTGCGGCAGACTTCCATGATGATGGATATACTCCTTGCCTGTAAGACAAATTGAATAATTTTGCGAAAGTTGGGGTGAGTTCGTTGACGCAATTTTTGAGTACTATTGCGGGAATTCCATCCGGACCCATTGCTTTGTTTGTATCCAGCTTTTTTAGGAATTTTCGTATTTCTCTGTGACAAAAGGGTACCTCTGGCATACTATGGGAAACCCTTTCAATGAACGGTGGAGTTTTTCCGTTTGGCACTGTTAGGTTGGAGTTGGAGGAAAACATTTGGGCAAGCATATTGGCTTTTTCCTCTGATGTTGTGGCTAAGTGATTATTTTTATCTGTAAGTGGTGGTATGGATGACTTGGTGAAGTTAGATCCAACAGCTTTTGCAAGAGACCAAAAAGACCTAGAACTACTTGGACAATTCAGCAACATGTTTTTTATTCTTTGATTGTATGTTTCTTTAGCGGAGTCAATAGTAATTTTGCAACTATTTCTGGCTTCTATAAATTCTGTGTGGTTTTGAGCGGTTTGTTGTCGTTTCCAAAGGTTATATGCTCTGTGTTTTTTCTGTACAGCCGTTTGACACTGGCTGTTGAACCAAGGTTTTGCATTAGCTCTACGTTTAATTGTATGTGGGATATATGCGTCCATTCCAGATAAGATTACTTGTGTTATTTCATTACAGCAAATAGTGGGATCAGCTGTTTTAAAGCAAACCTCTTGTCATGGAAAATCCAGGTAATACTGTTTTAGGTCATTCCATTTTGCCGATTTATAGTGCCACATTTTACGAGGAAGTGGCTGTAGGCTTGGTGGGATGAGCATTTCGCACTTTGTTATTATAAGTTTATGATCGGACGAACCAAGTGGAGCATCTACTTGAATTGTGTACCTAGAACCGATTTAAATAATCTTGTATTATTGTTAAGAGAGCCCAGATCGCCTTATTCAAGTCCAATTGTATTGGTTAAGAAGAAAACTGGTGGAACACGCATGTGCGTAGATTACCGCGCTGTTAACGCAAAAACAATGAAAGACTGTTATCCTCTACCAAGAGTGGACGACCATTTAGAGATTTCAAAGGGATGCAAGTATTTTACGACCTTGGAGATGGCGAGCGGTTTCCACCAAATACCAATGGCGGAGAACTCACGAGTGAAAACGGCATTCGTAACTCCTGATGATCACTACGAAGGATGCCGTTCGGATTAGTAAATGCTCCAGCGGTGTTTCAACGGACAATTAACCAGTTCCCATGCGATTTTCTACTGCCTTAGCATACATAGATGACATCTTGGTTCCTATTTGCTCTTGGGGATGTATTTGAAACCTTCCGAAATGCAGGTGTCACTTTGCGACTGTCAAAATGTAATTTCTTTAAGGAGCAAATTGATTATTTAGGACATGAGATTAGTGCTGCCGGTATCCGACCCGGTACTTCGAAGATTTTTGCAGTAGAGAAATTTCCTGTTCCAAAAAATATGCATCAGATTCGACAATTCATTGGTCTATGCAGCTATTTCAGGAAATTAGAGAAGTTTTGATCAAAAGACCTATACTTGCCC